ACGCTGAAAATAAAAAGAGACATCGAGGGAGAGATAGAGAAAAGCTGCCCCGTCGTGTCGTGTGTACCAACAGGCTAAATGTGTTTCACAGATGACCGCCTCTCCTCAATGCACTCATCCATCGATTATATCAACTCATCGATGCACTTCAATCTTGTCTCTCAACATTTTTATCATTTTTTTAGATAACCATGGGAATAACTTTTGCTCATTTGCACTGGGAGATAAATTTAGAAAAGTAAATGCATTTGTTTGCAACCACCAATTGTTGTTTTTAGCAAATTAGATAAATTAGAAAACATTAAAAAATATTTTTTTAAGTAATTATTTGATTAATTTCATGTTTGGATGGATTGGCGTCAATTTAGGGTTTATAATAAGCATGTAGTAGATATAAATAAATATACTCTTAGAAAAATTAACTATTTAATTGGATTCTAGTAATTTTTTGTGAGTGTTGAGGAATTAAAACGTTTTTTTCGCGTCTTAATATAGAAAGAGTATGTAATTAGTGGAAATTACCGAATATGTTTCTAAATTGAATACATATACATCCTCAGGGATTTTTAATAGAATATTCATTTCAGATTTGAATTCTTACAAACATTGATCTCCGAAATTTTAATTAGTTGTGTTAAACAAATGTATTCAATTCAATATTGAGCACTCGCAATCCCGAATTCAGGTCAATTAATTAATTTAATTTGTTAGTTTGAAAATAATTTTTTGTCACTTTCCTAAATTTATTTTCTCATTATGAAATGTCGGTTTTAGTTCACTCAAAAAAATTGCTTTCAATAAAATCTGGGAGTTCAATAATTTCAATGTTTTTATAAAAAATGAAATTTTTCCATAAAAATGACTAGAATCCATTAAAATTTTAATAATTTAATAATTTCAATGTTTTTATAAAAAATGAAATTTTTCCATAAAAATGACTAGAATCCATTAAAATTTTAATGGATTCTAGTCATTTTTATGGAAAAATTTTAATAATTTAATAATTTCAATGTTTCTATAAAAAATGAAATTTTTATGGAAAAATTTCATTTTTTATAAAAACATAACATAACAAAACATTTTTTAATATACATAAGGCGATTCTGGCGATTCTATCTTAAGATTTAATTTTTCTCTTTGAATCGTGTTATGTTTATTTAATTATTTGAAGATTTATGCATTTTAAAGTTTGTAGGATCAGAATCAGATATTGTTTATAAAGAGATTTATTATTATTTTGGTGATTTTATTGAATATTGGGGTGTACACCACTTGAAAATGATGTAGACACAATTTTCGAGTTGGCGTTGAAAGTTGTCCCCATAAAAGTCATCAATTATTCGATTGGAAATAAATCGAAGGCAGATGGGGAGTGCCTCCGGGGGCACGACGGGTGATCGTCAACGAAAAACTTCTCTCGTACCCCTCAAAAGCCCAACAATGCTGTTTCTCAACAAATACAAAACGATACACGCGTGCATTAAAATCCGTACTCCAGTGTTATGCCCCTGGGGAATGTTTCATTCACAGAAATTTCATTCTCAAAATTTGCGAGGGACCATTATTTATCGATAAATGCCTGAGTGGCTGTCATTGTCCGGATTATTCCAATATATTTACCCGGAACAGGTCATTTATTATGACACTAATGAGCTCGGTGATACCGTTATCGCTGAGGAAATTGCGATAAGTCACCGCACGAAGAGAAAAGTCCAACAAAAATTACCGGAAAAAACACGTGAAATTTACAAAATTTTATGTTAGAATTCTTGAACATACGCGGAGAGAAATATTTAGTAAAAATTACGGAAGTTTCAGTTCACTTACCGATTACGGAGTTGATTCGAAAAATTTAAGTGACGGTATCGTTATTTTTCACCGATAATTCAGATAAAAATTACGGAACACCGCGAAAAAATTCCATGACTTTAGATAAAAATTACGTGACAGTTCCGTAAAATTTCCGGCAACCACATTTCGCTCCAGAATTACGGAAAAAACACGTAATTTTTATTGAATATTTCTCTCAGTGTAAGATTCGCGATTCAATGATTTAGGCAAAAAATTAATTGTCATCACTGATGAATTCTTGGATGAAGGTTAGATAAAAATGAGAAATCAATGTGACATCCTAAATCCAACGTCTCAAAATTTTATATTTTATTATTGTTTATTTAAAAAAAATGATTCGTAAAATCGACAGTGACAGACCCAAAAATTGAATAACTGTTTCAGATTTTTCTGTTATATTTCTGTATAGAAATTCGTCTATAAAATTATTCTCGTTTGGGGACTTACGGGAATTACGGAACTTTGATTCGGTTACCGATTACGAGAGAGATTAAGAGAATATACTCGGCGGTGTCGTAATTCTTCACTGAAACTTCCGACAAAAATGACCGGACGTTCTGGAAAGATTTCGGAATAGTTCCATAAAATTTTCTATAGGGACTTTTCACTCCGGGATTACGGAGAAGATACGTAATTTTCATTGGATATTTTTCTCCGTACAGAAAAGGAGAGCGACTATTTTGGGGAACAAGAAAACTGAAATAAATTTAATTCCATGATGAGATCGAGGTCGTGGGAAGTTTCCAGAGGGTCTTGTCCGTTACTCAATGCAAGTGTAAGGCTTCTTGTAAGAATTCCTCTGCGTACAGGGCCCTATCACCTTACCTGATGACCCGACGTGTCTCATCAGTGTCTTAAAAATAAATTGGGAATGATGAATCATCTGGAAATTGAGGGATCTCAATGATGCAAATAGTATAAAATTCCAGTTAAATTCACCAGATTTCTCATTGGCACAAACTATTGACTTCTTTAAATCCAATGGTAACTTTTATTGAAATTTTTGAAATTTTTCATCCCTTCAAATCCCAAATACCCCAAAATTCATCTAACATCCGTAAAATCCCTGTATAAATTGCAGTCGGATCCCCTTTAATTGATTCCCTAAGATCTACTAAAACAATAAAGGGGAGAGTAAATCTGAAAATGGGGGATTGAAATGCTAATACGAGATTTCCATGGTTGAACACCCCAGAGCATTTTCATGAGTTCTCCCCTCCGACCATCGAGTAAACACACGCACGCGCGTTAAAATCACTCAGTCCATTTCAATTGATACTAGAAATATTTTTCAAATACACGGAAATAACGATGTTGTTATTATCCTACATATATTCACGTTTGTCACAACACATAAGTCACCCTCGAATTTATTGTCAATGGATGGGATTCCCCGTATTCTTTGAACCAACTTACCCTCTCCCGCCTCGAAAAGTCAGTTAAAAGGATCTTCGTTGATTAATGGCTTCACTTTTCACCTTCTATTCTGTTAATACTCGACTTGCTCCATTCAACTTCAACACGTTGTAATTTCTCCTCACATTTTCCACCATTTTTTTTTTCTTTCATGCTCAAGATGAACCGCTACCTTTCAATTCATTCATTCCCACTGGGAATTCTCGTCTCAATTTTCATGTGTCCAGGAAATTTTTCAATCACGCAACACGAGAAAATGTTAGAAAAAAAATTTACAAAATTAATTGAAGGAAACATCACCTTGCCAAAAATTATCAACAACAATTTTCACAACAAATTATCACAAACAATACTCTCAGGCTGTTGTTCAGAAATAATATTTAATTAATAAACTTTACAAATATTTACAATACATAAGAAAAGTCAATCGTTCAACTCATTCTAATTCATATTCAAAGTTCACAAAATTGTTAACAAAATGCTGAGTGAATAAAAAATATTGGAGTGACTCATGCGAATTCGGAGAAGTCTGATTCATCCGACGCATCATGTGTGTTAATGTCCGTCGGGTCTTGCGCAAGACCTTATGTACAATGCGTAAATGAATTGCAAAAACGGATTTCCCATTCGTTTCGTAATTGATAAGTATCTAATGTAAATTTTTCGAAAAGATAAAAAATGAATTTCAATAAGTAATGCGTTTACTTCAAGAAAATCATAAAACTCAGATCGCGACGGCTAGACGATACCAATGATTCTAATGATTCCACGATCCCACAATTGACACAGGTAAAATGATTACATTCGTGTATATAATTTATGCATCATTACAGTTATTATTATTCAACATAAATATACATACGGTAACATCTATCATTATTCCTATAGCAACTTATTATTCGGAAATCTACATATCAATATGACATATCCGCGAAATATTTCTCTGGATTTAGTAAAACGTCTGGATGAGTATTTTTCATTTCAAAATTATTCCCGAGAGTAATCGCAGTATTTCTGTCTCTGAGAATGAAATTCCCCCACAGATGGTCCAGGTGGAATAACCTTTCATCCCTCTATTAATTTAATTCTTCAACCATTTATTATATTTTACAGAGTAATTATCACAATTCAATATTCTAGGGGAATCTAACCGACGAGGGCGAGAGCTTCCACAAGTCAATCTAGTTTCAGACAATCTACGACTCTAGATGATGACCTACAAGACTCAGACATACGATGAGTTCTTCAACAAAAAATATTGGTATCAAATAGATTGTTTAACTTTCAATGGAGACCCGATGGACCAAGTACTTGATGATTTTCAAGTGGTAAATAAAATGACCAGCGCAAAAAGCATTACATATAACACCGATTCTCATATTGATAAAGTCAATGAGACATTATCTAGCGGATGCTATTTTCTGGTATTTTTTATGGCAACGTAGGACCCAGAGACAGAAATCATTGCTGATTAATAATCCGCAGCAAATCATGATGTTCATCTCGACGATTTGTAATAACGAAAACATCAATTAATGATTTTTCAATAGCAGATGATGCTTGTCGTGATTAATAAGCGCGAAGTCTGACTTCCATTTCAGGATCCTGTCGATGAGTGAGATGAGGCTCAACACCACCTGTCACAGTACCACTACCGCTTACGTGATGACCTAGATGGTGATGATGAGAGAGATGATGATTGTGATGGGGTGGTTGGGCTGCGGCACTTCGAAATGCTCTCTGTTTTTCCTCGAATTGACGGATTCGTTCGTTGTAACGAGCCAACTGATTACGAAGTTGGGCATCTTCTTGGGCAGCAGCGTCCTCGTCGTATTCGAGACAACCCACGCCATCCAGACGCTCCAGGTCAATCCAACCACGCCACCTCACGCAGACGCCGTTCATTATCAGACCTGATCGTATGTGTACCTGAAACATCCCGATTATTCGATTGTCCAATTAAAAATTATGAGCACTTCGATTTGCATTTTCATTTTTATCATTTATTCTCAAGCAATTATTTCAGTAATTCAGTAATTCAAGTGGTAAACTAGGATAAGTGATTTTTTTTCGAGGCAAGTTTTTGGCCAGTATCTCGGTATCGAAGGCGCAAAACGACTTTTTTATATAAACATTTTTTATAGAGAAGAATGAGAGCTACAGAAAAGGTATTTATGAAAAAATTGTTATCTTGCTTCAATTCCGAGATATCGACTAAAAACTAGCCTCGGAAAAATTCAGTCATCCTATTAATTCTTATAGTATTCTATTAATGTTTTTTTTTTAATTTTGTACTTGAAAAAAAACCAAAAATCCAATACATGTATTTAAGTACTCAAGTATTCAAGGCAGTTTGAAATTTCTCATTACCGCAACTGCTCTTTTTAAACATTAAATCTTTAATGTGTAGTTTGATAAAAGAAAGAATTGTCTCCGAAGAGGATTAACCGTTCGACCAACAATCAAGTTCCTCATCTCTGATGGAGAACAATAAAAAAGAAATTATGAGAAAAATAATATGAATATTCTGGACAGTGCAATTTTCTCGTGGCCGCAGGCGGTAGTGTATACCTTCCAATCTCAGTAATCGCCTGTTGAAAATGAGGAACACTTAGCCTTGCAGCAACAGGACGAATTAGGATGAGAAGAACGGCGAAATATTCTACGACGAGATTGAAACGCAACGTAAATTGGATCATTACGACATCGTGTGAGTTTGATGCATTTTTTCACATCCATTTAGCTCTAAAAAAAAAATTCCCATTTTCTCGCCCTCAGTGAATTCCCAAAAAAAAAAATAAATAAATAAAAATAACTGGACCAACCCAGTAGTTCAATAAATACCAACTCAACTATAAATACCAACTCAATTCATATTAATTAAGTATGAATTTCAATTTACTTGGCGGTAGTAATGATTACATAATAATTCTCGGTGTTTTTGATTTTTAAACCGTTTTCGGGATAATTTTTATGAATTTTTTTGTTTCGTAGACATTTGATTTTACGGAGAATCATGTGAACGACGAGTTCCCAAGAATTGGGTCTCGCCCGTCGGGAATTATATCCCTCCAGGACCTATATTTTCAGCGAGTGTATATTTCCGGTGTTTCCAACAGTCGAAACAACCAGAGAAAAAAAAAAGTCCAGAAACTATAACACACAAAAAGCGAAACAGAAATCGTGAAAAAATGGTGAAAAAATGGTGAAAAGCTTCGCGGGGAGTTAAAATCGTTATTTCCCCGTAGTTTTTCTCCATTGATATATTACATAACCGCCGGGTGTGAGATTTTATTTCATCCCCACCGGGACGTTCATTTGAAGGATAATTGCACCGACGGGGTGGCGTCTCAGTGGGTGGTAACACAATCTACACTAAATTGCAGACTCAATCAGAGATACACAAGGTCAATCACAAGTGTGGAAGTATGTGCGTCATACACTGGGAAATACCTGCTCATTTGTATTGCTGAACTCTTTCCTTCTGCACACGGTAAAACCAGTAATGAAACTTCACTCGAACATTGAATCGAGGAAATTTCCAATAAAATAAATTCTTCGAAATTTTCAATAAAATAAAACGCGACAAAAATTCAATATACGAAGACAAAAATCCGGGAAAATCTACCCAAAAAATATATATATAAAGTACATAAATTATATATATATATACTTGATCCTAGTACATTTATAATTGTTATTAAAATCCTGGGAAGATCGATTTTGCATCGATACACGGAGAGAAATATTTAGTAAAAATTACGGAACTTTCAGTTCACTTACCGATTACGGAGTTGATTCGAAAAATTTAAGTGACGGTATCGTTATTTTTCACCGATAATTCAGATAAAAATTACGGAACAGCGCGGAAAAATTCCGTGACTTTAGATAAAAATTACGTGACAGTTCCGTAAAATTTCCGACAACCATATTTCGCTCCAGAATTACGGAAAATACACGTAATTTTTATTGAATATTTCTCTCAGTGTATTAATCGAAAAATCCATATACAATCGGATCAAGTATAACGCATGTACAAATGATTTTTTTTTTTTCATAAATAATTCATGAAATACTTGTTCAATCCGAGAAATTAACCGTTTCCCACAGTTTTAATGACAGATTCAAAAGTTTGCTGAACGTTTCAGATTTTTCTCCTCTAGATTTGATATTTTATATTCCAACGTAATTCGCTGCGAAGTCACATGCGAATGTTTATAACATAAATTTTTCCGGCTTGATATACATACATATAAATGTGTATTTCCTAGAGTTTTAATCGTTGAATTTTTAGATATCGTTTGAGGTGATGAAAATGAGACATGAGTAATGATGATTTGATGAATCATCTCCCCAGGAGTTCGAGTTTTCGATGTTCTGTTTGTGATTTGTTTCAGCTCTTCGAGGAGAGTGTGCTGGGGATATTTATACTGAGTTCTGATGGTGGAATCCCGCATTTGACAGAAGCTTTCTCCTCCATTTCTACAGAAATTCACCTAAAATCATTCTCACTTGCGGATTACGTAAAATGTTCCGTAATTTTTCTCGGATATTTCCCCCCGCGTGAAGAACTGTACGGAGAGAAATATTGAGTAAAAATAACGGAACTTCCGGTTCCTTACCGATTAGAGAGTCGACTAAAAAAATTTGAGGGACGGTCTCATTATTTTTCACAGAGAATTGAGATAAAAATTGGGCGGAACGCCGCGGAAAAATTCACATTTCCCTTCGGAATTACGGAAAAGACGCGTAATTCTCATTGAATATTTCCCTCCGCGTGTAAAATAGAATTCCCAATCCCAACTGTTCTCTATTGAGCCATTTAATTACAACCTCAACTTCAATTAGTCAAAATTTTCACGCTCAGTCAACTGCGATTAATAACTGAAGGGTAACATTCGTGTATTTAACCCTTTTCTCGTTCTCACGGGAGTAAAAACAACAGTAATAAAAAATAGAATTAAAAAAAAAGGGAAATAAAAAGTACAGAGGTTTGGGCGTGACCCATTACGAGACATAATACCGTACGATATTTAAACTGTAACTCGTTCCGCTCAACCCTTTGACATTCTCATTTGCATGAGGCCCAAAGTGACATTGAAACAGATGAAGAAAAAAAGGAAAGAGTTAAATCCGGTGAAAGGGTGGCAGTACGTTATCAAGTGTTGCCTGGCGTATCTCCAGTGATTTTTTTTTTAACCTCGTATTTATCTCAACGAGACGGACACAGGAACCGGCTTTGTTTCAAGTAGGCGGCACCCGTCGACTTTTTTTCCAGTCCAGTCCAGTCCAGGGGACAAAAGACAGGGGCATTCGTCATCATTTCTAACTTCCCTCTTTCTAGACCTATCAAAAAAACCGAATACCATACGGTCAGCGTGCGCCTTTCTGTCGTAAACAACTCCACACAATTATTATTGCAAATTTATTTTTGAATTATATGTGGCCGTCAGCTTGACAAGGCCCCATTTCGGCGATTCTTACACTGAGAAAAATATTCAATAAAAATTACGTGTATTTTCCGTAATTCTGGAGCGAAATGGGGTTGTTGGAAATTTTACGGAATTGTCACGTAATTTTTATCTAAAGTCACAGCATTTTTCCGCGGTGTCATTTTTATCTGAATTATCGGTGAAAAATAACGATACCGTCACTTAAATTTTTCGAATCAACTCCGTAATCGGTAAGTGAACTGAAAGTTCCGTAATTTTTACTAAATATTTCTCTCCGTGTATTTGCGAGATATTCGCATCTTTTGCAAAAGGAGAATTTATTATTTTGATTTTGAAAAAAAAGAACAAGGGCCCACGATTTTTTGTTTATCGAATATTTAATTTAAAATATTTGTAACTATGCGGTGTTTAGACCTGGAGGATTCTGGTTGGTCTTCAAATATAGGTGATATAATCGTGCACCTGAGAAAAATACGGGGAAATTTACCGAACTTTTACGTAATGGTTGGATGACCTTGGTTTTCGGAGAAATGTACCGTAAAAATTATCCTGACAATTTAGTAACAATTCGTGCTCGTTAGGATAATTTTTACGGAACTGTCCTGATTTTTCCCGGAATAAATCAAGGCCACCCCACGACTACGTGAAATTTCCGTAATTTTCCCAGTATTTTTCTCCAGCAGATCAATTTTTATCCAATATCTCAAAATTGAAAGGAGCTACCGATTTTTTCATGGATACCTTTTCTGTAGTTCTCATCCTTTTCTATAAAAAATGTTAATACAAAAAATTCGCTAGATTCTTTCAATTGGAAATATAGCCTAAAAACGGACCTCGAAAAAAATGCAGGCATTTCGGAATTATTCTCTGAGGAAATCGGTATATTGAGTACCTGATTCCTTCGGAAAAACAGAATTGCTCGAGTTATATGATCATGATTACAATGACGAGAATGAAAAAGGCTCCATTCACGTAAGGAGTATATGAAAGGGTGATTATTCTCCTTTGAATCAGGTCTCGTTAATTACCGACGATAAGAAACGCGCGATAGCAGATGTGAAAAGGTAAAAAAAAAGGGGGAACTGTTGTTATCTGAATTTTGATCTGACTTAATTGCTTGCGCCACAGGGCACCATCACAATGCCCAGCACGTGGCGCTTCTGATCTGTCTTTAAAACAATGAAGAGAAAAAAAAAATCGTCTCGTGTCGTGAGGGAGATTGAAATATCCTCACGTCTACCCCAGAGGGTCGCCGCTTTCAAGGGTTTTCCGATTTTCCGAGGAATCTCTCTCTGGCACACCGATATCTTTTGAACCCGAGGCAATTTCCCGGAGTTGTTCAATGATTTATGGCCGTTTGAAAATTTTATTTTTCTAACTGCCTGTGACAGTTGGTCGGTGCTAATTGTCTGTCATGTCTTACAGAAGCTGTTGAAAATTCAGGGTAAATATTACGCTGTTTACATCGGGTGAACAGTAATTGAATCATCGGTTGGGCAAACGAAAGTGGAAATAAATTTGGTGTAAATGAAAAAATATGGGAATTCGAATTGGAAAAAATGGAGATTTTTACTGGGGAAAGCACACGGAGAGAAATATTTAGTAAAAATTACGGAACTTTCAGTTCACTTACCGATTACGGAGTTGATTCGAAAAATTGAAGTGACGGTATCGTTATTTTTCACCGATAATTCAGATAAAAATTACGGAACACCGCGGAAAAATTCCGTGACTTTAGTTAAAAATTACGTGACAGTTCCGTAGAATTTCCGACAACCACCTTTCGCTCCAGAATTACGGAAAATACACGTAATTTTTATTGAATATTTCTCTCAGTGTAGTAAATAAATTTTCTGAGATTCTCCATTTTTGGCGGACGGAGAGAAATATTTAATAAAAATTACGTGCCTTTTTCGTAATTCCGGTGCGAAATGTGGTTGTAGGTAATTTTAGGGAACCGTCACGTAATTTTTACCGAGAGTTACGGAATTTTTCTGCGGCATTCCGTAATTTTTATCTGAATTATCTGTAAAGAATTACGATACCGCCACTTAAATGTTTCCATGCATCTAGAGATAATCGAGTGTTTAAAAATTCGCGAATAATTTCAAAATGGCGGTATACCGACGCCAGTATCGATCGTAATGGCGTCGACGACCCCTGGACCGACGCCGGCGCGTTAACGAGAAGACCGGAAGCCGCCGTAAAAAAGGCATCAAGAAAAAAAGGAGATAACGTTTTGGAAAATACTCTGGAGCTGGTTATTTATTTTCGGCACTTTTTTTTTTCTCCACTTCTACAAAGCGGTTTATGACCTAAAGCCCTGAAAGGAAAAGTGGAGATGTTCCGAGAAGTTCACCGGGAATTTCCAGTCGAGGGGTCAGTTTTATTTCATTTGACGAAAAATTGGCGTCGGAAAGAGCCAATGGACCCCTGCAGTGAGGGGCTGTTGTATACGTCATACGGGGGCGGAAAAAAGGAACTCGGGGGCTCCAGAGGAAGTCATCAATGACTGGTCCTGGATCCCTCCATTGTTCATTTATACGGAGCTACAGATTTTACGGGAAATCGAGTTGTACAAACACGAGAGGTAAACGTCACGTATAATTCCACTTTATTGTCATCGAATTTGTACTAATTGACGGTGATTTATTTTTCAGTTCCACACATTTTGTCATTTCCACTCCAATTTTTTGTAAATATTCGAAAATTCCGGTGGTGCATGAAAATAAAACTTGAATCAAGTATATTTCATGTATATTTTATACTTGATTTAAACATATACGTTGCACGTAAAATGAATATAATAATATACTGGAAAGGATTGAATATAATAATATCTGAGTATTAATATAAATTTATTAATTCGGAAGAGAATGAGATAAATAAATAGAAATGTCACACGTCTGCGGACTATCAGAAGATAGAATATCGATGAAAAATTAATTTTCCTACCATTATAATAACGATTATGAATATATTAAGATCGAGGATAAAGTATACTTGATTCAAGTGTTTATTTGTTTCCGTGTGCCATTAGAAGACGTCGGCATGAATTTTATCAGCTATGTATCTCCGTCCAGTCGATAAAAGAAATGGATTTATGATATTTTCAAATTACCTTGCCATGTTCCTTGTCGAAGTCGCATTGTCCGGGTTCAGAGAAGGTTCCAGCAGCGGGGCCGAATGTCAATTGCAAATTAGTTCCCATTGCGGCAAATGCTATTTCAGTGTGACCTTCACGACATGCATTTTGGAAACGACCCTGACGCTCCTCCAAGGGTCTATCTCTAAAGCCCGTGTACCTCACCTACAACAATTTTTCATTTTTTTTTTTTCATTATTAATTCTATTTTTGCTAAATTACCGTTTTTATTCTACAATATTAAAGATTGGAGGGGAAAATTTACGATTATTCGACTCCGGAAGTGTTTGGAATTCCAATCGGACTCGACCGGATTAAAATCCGGGTATTTTTATTTCCAGGAATAATTACCTCACACTCTCGACTCAAACGGCGAAACAGCTCATCATTCTCAAATTTTGTCTTCTGGTCAGGTACGACCCGGGGCATTTTGAAGACGAATCTGGGCCTTGGCTGTTCGTAAAGGCCCATTCCGTCAAATGGCAAAACACCAACACCTAGGCCTGGACCTCCTGCATGTTCACTCATTGCGTGCATCATCATAGATTAATATTTCTAATGTCCTTGACAAATTTCTGCAATCGCTCTCACTCAAACAGTTCACGATTTTATTATTTTCACAATTATTCAGATGCACCTGAATTCAGCGAAATCGAGAAGACATTTTACGACACTCGGAGATATGTAATGAGATTTTTTTCGATTACTTTTGGGAAATTTTGAAGAATTTTTTTCGGTGACACACGACCGCACGGTACGACGTCTCAGTGGAGACTAAAGGCAGTTCAGGTCTCGGTTTCAGGTCATATCTTGAATTGCCACGCCCACAGGGTAGCACCGCCCCTGAAAAAATACTCCCCACCACTGGATTTCGTACTCATCGGATTGGGGAAGGGGAACAACTCGATTTTGTGCCGACCTGCCCCCCTCGATGGTGCATCTCGAAAATTCGATATTATTAATAATAAGAAAAAAAATCGATAAAATGCATATAAATTATTATCAAAAAACAATTCGACAATAAATAAATTTATTGATATTTCGTGTCTATTTATTGGCTTTCAATTTAATGACAAATAATTACAATAAATAAAGATCTAAATAAATTTTGATGCGAAGTGAAAAACTAGGATAAGTGCATTTTTTTCGAAACCAGCTTTTAGCCAATTTCTCGAAATTGAAGGTAGATAGAGATATTTTCATAAACACCTTTTTTTTAGCTCTCATCTTTCTCTTGAAAAAATGTTTTTGCTAAAAATGCGCTAAGTTCCTTGAATTCTGAGATATTGGCTGAAAACTGGCCTCAAAAAAAATGCACTTATCCTAGTTCACCACTTCGTTACTGAATTTTCTCCCTGACGCGGGGATAAATAGAATATTTTGATGGGCTTTGATTGGATGGGAGATTGAAGTGCCTGAAAATAGTGTAGCCTCCCCCTTTTTGGAGTACATGTCATACATGAAGAGCATTAAGTGTGTCAATTCTCCCCTAGGGAAAAAATATGCCTCTCCTAGAGTGGCTCATCCATTGAAGAGGATCATTGTCAAGCTCTACGATTAAGATCACCGGCTCTTTTTGGACACTCCTAAATAGATACCCATTTATATATTTCTTTATTCTCCATTTTTACCCCTCCGTCGACTGAAATATTGTTGAGAAAAGCCCAGCGGGTTTATGGAGGTGAATTTTTATTGAGGATTAGAAACGTTAAACAATCAAAACAATTGAGAAAAGGTCTCAATTCAGAGTTTCGGGGGAATGAATTTTGAGGAGAGAACTTTATGGGTCATACCTCTTCTAATATTGACCTGAGAAATTCTCGCCAAATGTTTCCTCGCACCCCAATAAAACCATAAAGGTGTTGAAAACCGGAAAATTTTCACTCAAGAATTTCACTTTAATGCACCATAAATATCAGTTAAATACACGTAGAGAATAATTTAGTAAAATATTGTAAACCTATTTGTTTGCGACCAAAAATTCTTCTTTTGATTAAATTAGATTGAAAACAATCAAAAATACTTTTGCCGCCAATTTAGTATTTTTTAACAAATATGTACTAGAGATAAATAAATATGCTCTCAATGACACATTAACATAAAATTGAAAAAGCAATTAATTATTTAATTGTATTCTATTAATTTTTTATGACTATTGGGGGTCGAAAAATATTTCTATAAATTAAATGCATCCCCAGGCATTCTAACGAATTCTATCTTCAAATTTCAATTCTTGCAAACAATTAGAGTTACAATTAAACTCGAAAATTTGATTTAGTTTTTTCAAACAAATGCATTCAATTAAATATTCAGCGCTCGCAGTCACATATGCGTTCGCGAATATTCATTAATTCAATTTGTTAGTGTCAAAACAATTTTTTCATTCAATCTACTAAATTTCGTTCGCAGTGTATTGCACTGAAATAACAATTGCTTTCGCCAATTGAATTCACTGACAACAAGAAAATTACATATATCCATGCACGGAGAGAAATATTTAGTAAAAATTACGGAACTTTCAGTTCACTTACCGATTACGAAGTTGATTCGAAAAGTTTAATTGACGGTATCGTTATTTTTCACCGATAATTCAGATAAAAATTACGGAACACCGCGGAAAAATTCTGTGACTTTAGATAAAAATTACGTGACAGTTCCGTAAAATTTCCGACAACCACATTTCGCTCCAGAATTACGGAAAATACACGTAATTTTTATTGAACATTTCTCTCAGTGTGCAAACCCATTTTCGAAAAATATTTTTTCTCTCAGTCTATTCTCTATAAACAACAACTGCCGAGGGTTCTATTCAATTTACCCTCGCAGTGAATCAAATCTCTGCAGATTTTCCCAAAGAGTTGTAAACCTTCAAAAAAGAACATTACAAAGGTGCAATCCCACCAACGGAGAAATATTTTCATTGGTCCAGTCAACCAACCAATGAGAATTCAGTCACTCTCTTTGTTCCAATTTAGCTGTCGACGTTAAAATCATTCGTATGTGTAGAGAATCTGAAATTTTCACGCATATACACACTTAGAGAACAGATATAAAATAAAAATTACAAATTCTTCCTTAATCCAAAAGCAAAATATCCCTCAGAAAAAATTTACAGAATTTTCGCTTCAGAGCGTTCTATAATTTTCATCTGAATTTATGAATCTGGAGTGATTATTTCAGATATTTCTCACAATATCCGAAAGATTGTAGACATTTCTAGAAATTCTCAGCGATCGATAGAACCCGCCAGACAACTATATACTCAATGAATAGAAGAAAACAAAAATTGGAATTTAAACTCTATTCCATTATCGAGTATTATTACTTATAAATTACTTTCACCACTCATTCCAAGAAAATCCACACGTTTCAACGCAAATATTAATATACATTTGCGTGTTTTAATTAATATATTGTTTTATTAAAGTCCTTATTTTTCGCCAATTAATTAATTCGAGAGATGGATTTTTATTTCAACAGTTCATATAATTATTTGCATACATATTTTTTCAGGGGATTCAGAGCTAAGGATGTGTAATTGTTGGAAGTACTATCGGTGAAATGAATGGGTGCAAATTCAAATAGCCGTAGAAAAGGTAGTCATGGTAACTAGAGTCCATCGAGTAAACCAGTTCTGCTCGTGTATTCGATCGAATTACTGTGGCTCATCAGATCCCCTGGTAACAGAGCACAAATTATTCTGCATTAATTCCACGGAGTCGATCATGACTGCAAGAGTTAAATCTGCAGATTTAATCTGCTGGCAAAAACGAGCATTCGAAAGGCACCGAAATCGAGTGAGTCTCAACCCATTAATGAGAACTAATTTAATTATCAACAATTATTTAGGAAAAAATAATAGTTTAAGGTAAATTATATGAAAGTGGTTTGATTGGGAAAACATGTATTTATAGTTTTAAAAAATTACTTTTGAATTTCGCTGTTGATTTTGAAGGTGAAGACAGCTGCTCCCACGGTGGACATGAGTCCCCCCTGTACTCGTCCTCATGTCCTGCGAGATGCAAAAAGACTGCAATTGGAACGAGAGCGACAGGCTGAAATCATGCGGAATAATTTTATACTCTTGAGAAATCTGGAGGATATAATGCACGGACGGAGAAGAAAAAGGAGCTATCGATTGGACGAGAAGACAGCCGCTTGCATAAAGACTCGTTAAATTTATTGATTCACCATTTTTTGTACATTTACACTCGTGTATTCCATGAATTAGAAACTTCGAAGTCTACATCAATTTCATTATGACGATGTCCCTTTTCTTCTGCGTATATTTATATTATCGCTTTTAGAGGATGAATGAATAAATTAATGAAAAAACTGTTGACTCATTTTCCCTTTATTCCTTATCAAACATGGATACAATTTCAATAAAAAAAATTACAGGGCAATCCATACATCAAATCGCCTGTAAAAACGGGTAAATGATACGAATAATATCGTTCAACGATTATGCACAGACGTAATAAAAAATTTGAATTAGATAATACATATGGGAAAAGGGGTCGATAGTTTGAGTGTTGCAAAAATAACTTAAATGATCTAAATGCCACTTGTGACACATCAGTTCTACGCTCTATGCGGTTATCAACGTAATATTATATCTAAGACGAGGAAACAGCTGGTTATTGACAAATGCAAAAGATGGGAATGAAAATTCAATGTTCGCTGGGACTTTCTGGAATTCCTGCTATTTTATAATCGTTTTTCGTCTGTGAATTTTGGCATTCGATGAGTCTCCCAACTCCAGGAGGTGGTGGAGGACATAGAAAACTTGATAAATCAATGATAAAAAAAAAGAGAGCCTCAAAAATGGAGCAAAAAATAAAAATAAAAGAGAATTTCAACTCCTGTTAGTATAGACAAGTCCTCCTCATTTGAATTCTGTAATACTTTGGTAACATTAACCTCATTTCACCAGAAAATATAACTCAGGAGAACTTTAGACCAGACGAAGGAAGTGCAGTGCATAATCATCACCTTCCTCGTACTCATAATCATCGTAGGAATTGAACATGTCGAAGTCATCCTCATCAACATACTCGTAATCGTAATCTAAAGCATCCTCATCTTCATCATAATAATCATCGACATCGAAGTCTGAATCGCTCTCATCATCGAAGCCCTCTTCTTTGCCCTCGACGATCAAAAGAGGAGAGAAATCATCTTCATCGTTCCAATCCTCCTTGACGGAATTGCTGACGACCAAATGAAGTTTAAGATTGTTGGTCCTTTTTTTAGTGATAGTCATGGCCTCACGAATAACTCTTTCAGACACTCCAGTATCTGCGAGATTCAGGTACTTCAGATTGGCTGAATATTTAATCAATGATATCATTCCCTCATCGTAAACACCATCACAGCTCTCACACTCCAATTTCTTCAGATTGTACATTCCAGTGAAGGCAGCATCTGTGATTTTAAATGCATCGTTGAGAATCAGCTCTTCGAGGTGAGATAGTTTTAGCAAACTCTTGATCCCATTGTCTTCGACGTTGATGCATTTGCTCAAATTCAAGTGTCTCATATTGCTACAGTTCTCCGCTATTTGCTCAAGGAAATTATCGGCAACCTCGAGAACTTTTGTGAGATTAAGATGCTCGAGTTTTGTCAGACCATTCAGGTGGGGCAGTCCTCTTCTGATCGAGCAGTTTGCGATGGAGAGGAAAGTGAGTTCAGACTTTTGACTTATGACTTTCATCATGTTGGGCTTCAAGGAAAAACCATTGAGCGTTAGGGCTGTGAGTTTGGTGAGACTCTGGAATGCCTGCGGATGAAATAAATTTCGACAAAATTTCATTCCAAGTTTATCGGGTGAAATGCTTTCATTCTAGTGACTATTTAATGTGTGAAAATAAGTATAGTAAAGAAGTAGTAATAAGGATACTCACGTTGGGAGCTACACGAGGTAAAAAAACATATGTTGGAAGATAAGCATCAGCGAAATAAGCCCAGAGATGGATTTCAGTCAATGTTTCATACGGCAGAGCCTGGAAAAATTCACCACTGAAATGCTGTCTAATTCCCTTCATCTCCAGGTATTTCAGCCTCTGCATTTGTTGAAATAGTTTGGCACAGTTTTTATCGTATTTTGGGAGTTCAATTTCCAGTTTCACTAGATTGTGACAGTGCTGGCCAACAAGTGGAAGAATCTTGGAATTACAGGGCTCAGCTAATTGTAATTGGTGCAGATAACGTCCACATTTCCTGATGATCCTTCCAATGCATTGATTAGACTTTAAATCATCTGGCAACTTTAATAAGTCACTCGTTGGAGGACATCTTACAGTGAAATTTAAGATCTTCACGTCGTCCCAAGCCAGTTGAGAAACATCTTTCCACCGTTTACAAACTGTTGATCAATGCAACAATAAAAAACATCTTTATTTAATTCCCCTAGACAATCTATCACATATTTGTTAAAATACATTTTTTATTTCAAAAGAATGACAAGTAAAAATTCCGATAAAATAGACTTCACCTGCTTCAATGGTAAGACGCTGGTCTAGAGAAAGATACTTGAATATTCTGGCTAAGCAATCATCATTCAGATTATTAATTAAATCAGGTCCACTTGGCTCCTCACAGACAGCCTGAAGTTTCCCAGTGTTCTTTTTAGTTTTGTTTGCGGTTGCCTTTTCTGTAATTACATCCTTAAATAAAAGGGAGAACATAATGGCTATCGCTCAAAAACACTCCTCTTTATACATAGAGATCAGTGCCTGCGGTACCATCAAGGACAGATGGCGTAGTTGAGGAAATGAGCGTTAATTTAAAAAACAATTCTAATTGGAGCTAAAATACAATATATAGAATACGAAACATGTGTAATTTCATGCATATAGAGAACATTATTTTCTTGGAAAAAAAGGATAAACTAGAAACTGTCATGACGAAAGGCATGCAAGAAAATATCACAGCAGTGGCAGTGTCAATTTTCATGAAAAAAGTGTTTTAAACATTGCAAATATTTCAGTGACGATAGTCTTTCTAATTTTTGCCTTCAACTCGACTATTTGTTGAATGAAAAACGATGAATAAAGCTGTTGGTCATTGATTATCACTTTTCTTCATGTGACAGATAGTTCAAGTCAGTGAAAAAATTATGAGAAAAAATTGTATTGAACTCCTGATAAAGGGGCGCGCCAATAATGACCACATGGTGCAATCTCATTGGTTGAAATGACAATTAAGAAGAAAAATTTCTTCAATTCTAAAGAAATTTTTCTTCTTATTTATCTTCTTATGTAAAATTTGATTAGAATGTAGATGAAGGATCACAGTTTCTGATTAATGGAATCATTAGAACCGCTAATAAATAATTAATTGTTATTATAAACTCAATCTGCTCAATGCATCTAAAAAATGTTGGTTCTTAACCTCCATAACGACTGGACATAGCTGACGGTTAGAAGTGAGATTACACACGATTCAAGGATACAAAGATTTGATAGTGTACAGGATGGGTAATGGGTAATTAGTCGATATTATGGGGTATATACTTACTTTTGTGATTTGATACGTTGGAGCGACGCTGAGGAGTGAATCTTTTCATGCTGAAATGTTATTTATGACTGGATAAACCTCCCACAGGACTAATCTAGATGGCCATTCGGTTACGATTGTGTTCAATGTAATGAAATCCAACAGATCTAGTAGAATTTCGTACACGATAGCTTTCAATTCTCTCTTACTTCTTTGTTTATGCACGCACACCTTATGTTTTGGTTTCAATCCGTAACAGCAGCCATTTTGAGTGGATAAGCATTCGCGAATGAAAAATATTTCCGGCGGAAAAATGTGATCAATTGGTCAATTGGAATTTGAATTTATATCCCCTGAAAGAATTGTGAAAGATTAATTCCGATGGGAATGCAGAAATTCAAAAAAATTACATGTGTCAGGCATTTATATTTATGAGTAAACCTGTTATTTTCTTTTAAGGACCTTTTCTGATTTGAATTTGAACATGTGTTCTTTGGAAAAAATGTCTTACCGACATTTTCCTCTGTTGTATCGACATTCGCAGAGGAAAGCGGTGAAATTCAAAATAAAAAAGTTGTTTGAAACAAGCACTATCGAAAAAGTTGTAAAAAATAAATGAACAAATACAAGTGCTATAACTTTATTGTAAAATCTACTGTAAACCATCTGTGACATGACAATTTGACATTGAAACTCATTACCGTCAATTGCAGGTTAGGTATCGAGTGTTTGCCCTCAATTCGACTGAATTCAGGTTAGAAATAGATTATTTTGCCGGGTGTATGACACGTATTACACATGTCTATTTGTTCCCAGATGTAGCCCTCATCCAAAAATAGTGAATTCGAGTGAGGAAAAAATAATCGGCCAGATCAATCACTTAAAAAATAATAAAGTGGAAATATCGAACAATGTCGACACGACGAGATAAACGTGCATCTCAGAATGCACCAAAAAAATTGGAGAAAACGAGAGATAAGAAATTGTGGGGAAGATTGGAAAAAATTTTTCAGTTATTCGTCGATCCAAAGCTACTGACATTTTTGGCCGTGTTCTTCGTTCATATTGAGATTATCATGAATCTTCTTATCATCCACAATGTAAAATATACGGAGATTGATTGGAGGGCGTATATGCAGGAAGTGGAGGGATTTTTGAATGGAACACTGGATTATGGAAAATTGAGGGGTGACACAGGACCATTGGTGTATCCCGCTGGATTTGTTTATATTTACTCTTTATTTTACTACATGACATCCAATGGAATTGATGTCAGAACGGGTCAATATATTTTTGCCTTACTTTACATAGTTTTATTAGTATTAGTCTTCCGAATTTATGCGAGGACCAAAAAAGTTCCACCCTATGTTTTAATATTAATATTCTGTACATCTTACCGAGTGCATTCAATTTTTGTATTGAGACTATTCAATGATTCTGTTGCCATGATATTTTTATTCGCTAGTTTGAATGCATTTCTGGATGACAAATGGTATTGGGGAAGTGTTCTGTACAGTTTGGCAGTCTCTGTTAAAATGAATATATTATTATTTTCACCTGCGTTATTGATATTTTATGTATGCAATTTGGGATTTGTCAGGACAATTTTTCATCTCGCCATTTGTGCAACTATTCAAATTATTCTTGGTCTTCCGTTTTTGATAAATAATCCGTACACATACATTTGTGGTGCTTTTAATTTTGGACGCGTATTTGAGTACAAGTGGACCGTCAATTGGCGAATTATACCACAGGATTTGTTTCTAAATCCTGTTTTTCATATTACACTGTTGTTCTTGCATTTGGCTGCTATCGCTTATTTCATTCCTACGTGGAAAACGTACATGAGATGTTACGCTAAACTGAAATTATACGGAAGAGAATTGAAGTTACAAATGAAGAAAGAGACTGAAATTGAGACTGTCGATATGTCTACTGTAAGTCAATTATTTATCGCGCCTCTCTTCGTTGCTAATTTCCTCGGAGTGATGTTCAGTAGATCCTTGCATTATCAATTTTATGTGTGGTACTATCATACCCTACCGTACATTGCCTGGTGTACACATTATTCAGTTGTCACTAGGATTGCAATTTTGGTTGTCCTGGAATTATGTTGGAATGTATATCCCAGTACTGTTTGGAGCAGTGCTGCTCTTCATGGTTGTCATTTGATGCTATTGTATGGATTGCATAAAAACCGAGTGAGGTATGATAAATTTGATAAGATGATTAAACAATAAAACATGTTAAATAAAATGTTAACTTCCAGCTTATCTGTAAGAAATTGCATTAATAATAAAAAAACAAAGAATTTAGAGAAATATATTAGTTTTATTCATCAATGTCATTTGAGTTCATATCTGTAGAAAAATGTCTATGTAATAATTTCAGAACATCCACCAGGGAATAAAATTCAGATAAACAACATCGAGGCTGATTATCAAATCGCAATTACAGTCAATACTTTATAATTCAACCATCATTAATATTATAACATAAATAATATTTGCAGTGACAACAGGGAAAAACCCCTCAGTATATTCTCTGCACGGAGTCTCATAAATGTAATATTCGATTCTGTTCACTGATATATTAAATTCTTTTTTTTTTGAAAGTAATAAAAAATTTATCGATCAAATCGAAGAAGAAAAAATAAAAACATAATAATGTAACTGAAGCTTTCCATTTAGGAATTTTTATCAAGTGTTTGTGCACTGAGAGTGCAAAAAGTTTGGAGTTTATACACCGTGAGCTTTTTGACAGCTTTACAAAGGTTATGCGCGAGATCAAAAGGATCTTGCAAACAAAGAACAGAGTCCACTCTAAAAGGCACCCCATTTTCCCCATTGAGGGAATTAAGATAAGGCTTCATGGCGGACGGTAATTCATTAGGATTCGAGAACAGTGTCTTTTTCACAGGTTCCCCAAGCAGTGGACAGATGACATTGTTTCGATAATCAAAGCTTGCATAAAATTTAAAAAACTGCGTGAGAAGTTCCCTGAAGCTTTGGTCAGTTCTACGCGGTTCGAAATCAATGAGAACTCCAGTTTCCCATCCAGCGACAATATTTGAGGCTTTATTACTGTCTATCAATTCGAAAATCGTCGGTAGAATAGACACTACTTGCAGAAAGTAGATCACCAGCCAAGCTATTGTATAACTATTGATCCCATTGACTCCTGTCAGCTCACAATACACCATCCAATTTCTCAGAAAGATAATCAACTTACGACAGTTTGGATAATTATTGCAATAAGCACCAATAATCTTCGTATTCTCAACGGTAAGACCGTTGGTAGCTGAAATGTCGCATTCTATTCCAGTGAATCTGTGAGTGATCGTTATGATTGGAACTCTGCAGTCTTCAACGAGTCTGTTAATGAACCAGGTCTGAGGGTCTCCTTCTAGACATTTTTTTATGTTCACCAAACGATCCAGTACTTGTTTATCACTGGAATTTTCTCCAGCATACACCGGACACTTCCCAGTGCTGCAGTCCAGGAAGATATCAAGGTCGCTATTTGCCCCACCAAGTCCATTAACCCTGGAGCCAAAGGGGTAAGCCTCAACGCGAGGATATCTCTGCTTAGAAATTTTTTTCAAATCTCTGATGACTTGATCCTCTTTCTTCTTCTCATCGATCCTACGTGCATTAACTTCAGCGAGAATTTTTTCGATGTTATCCTCAACTGCATACAAAAGTTTCTCAGCAGATTCTGGGAGTTTGTTCACCATGTAGTAATTGTGATATGCTGCATCTTTATGCATTTTGCATTGCGAGTGATAGGAGAAGGTATGGAGAACACCGTACCAGAGACTCGCACAAATAGCGCAATAGTCAAAGATTAATGTCTCGTTTTCGTATTGTTTAATTTTTTTGAGATGGCCCTTATCTCGCAAATGCTCTCGAAATTCTATTTCGACAATAGATATTGTTCTACAAAAGACACACCAGTATCTACGGACATTATAAAAATTCGATTGCATTCTCGAATGAAGAGCATGAAAGACTTCTTTCTTGTTTGATTCTAATAATGCCCACTGTTTTGCATGAGTCGGATCATTAATGTGATTACTTAATTTACAGGAATTGTTAGGAATAGAAAAACCACAAGCGTGACACTTGACTTCCTCTTCTGAAACTTCTTCCATATATTCTTCAGCAAGAGCTAGATCACTGAATTGATCTGGAAAGTCCTTGAACTTCTGGTGATCATTTATCATGTTCTGTAAATACTTTAGATGGTGAAGTGAACTCAAATGCTCGTAGAAATTCTGGAGAGAATTTTTAATGCACTTCTGGCACACGAGGCAGTAGATATTGTCGATGTCGATGGTGAAAGACAGGAGAACACCTAGCTGGATGTGTTTTATTCTCTGGTCGTTGATCTCGTAGATGTTCGGGCCGCTATCTAATTCGATGTCCAGGGGTTTTGTTCTGAAATGTGCAGATGACGTCACTTTCTTCGCCGGTGAGTTAGCAATCAAAGAATGAGAGGAATCTCCATCAGATTCGTCTTCACCCGTCACCAAATCCACTGGTTTTAGCTCTCCATTTACATTCTCCTCATGAGTATTATCCGTAGATTCTTCAAGATTCTCCAAGGAAGGCTTGAGAAAACGTTTCCAAAAATGTTCTGTCATGTGCTCGTGAAGACTTCCCTTCGTGAAATTTTCACCACACACCTGGCACGGAATTGTTTTATGGGCCTTTTTTTTCTCTCGCTTATTCTCAGCTGATTGAGGAGGTGCTGCGGCTACAGCAGCGTAAGAAGATGCTGACGACTTCCAACTGTCAAGGAATACATTTTCATTATACTTATGCTCCTCCGAATTCGAGTGTTGGAGATACTCTAAAGTTGCTGGGGTATGACGAGTCTCTCGAATTTTAATGTCACAGATTTTACACTCGATGTAATCAATGGTGTCACCAACGTAATGATACTGTACCATAATTTCGATAGGAACGCCATTCCACGCAGATTTGGGAGGAGGTGAAGGTACAATATCTTTATCGTCACGTCTCTCATCGCGGAATTCCAATTCAGAATTAATTTTCGCTTCATTCTGCTTGTGCTCTTTGCTGTTTCTGTGCGCATTGACATTCCAATAACCCCCAGTAATAATGCAGTTGCAGATTTCACAGAAGACATTCCTGATACTCTGAGGGAGAGTTTCATTATTTGAGGATTCTTTCGGATTCTTCTTCTCAGCTGATTCAGGAGGTGCTGCAGATATAGCAGCGCGAGAAGATACTGACGATTTCCAACTGTCAATGAATGCATTTTCATTATACCTGTGCTCCTCCGAATTCGAATGTTGGAGATACTCTAAAGTTGCTGGAGTATGAGGAGTCTCTCGAATTTTAGTGTCACAGATTTTACACTCGATGTAATCAATGGTATCACCTACGTAATGATACTGTAGCATAATTTCGATAGGAACGCCCTTCCGAGAAGTTGAAAGTGCAATATATTTATCATAATTTCTCTCATCGCCGAATTTCAATTCAGCATTGATCTCCGCTTCATTCTCCTTGTCTTCTTTGCTGCTGCCGTTTCTAATTCCCCCGTCCCAGCAATAGACATTACTGAGACTCCGACGGCGAATGTTGTTAGAGTTTAGTTTAAAAGAGAGCGGAGAGGAGACTGAATCTTTTTGATTGTCCAAGCAGAAAGAGGATATCAAGCGTTTGGCGGTTGTATTTTCAGAATTTTTAGACCCCAGAGGCAAGGCAGAAAGGCGGACCGGAAACTGTCTGGGTGACTTATCTCTTTTATCAGTTACTTTGTCGTTCCCTCCTGATACCTTCAACAAATCCTCTGGCTTTCCTTCCTCCAGATTTTTTTTAGTTTCTTCCGTTGTTTTTTCTTCTCCCAATTTCACTTCAACATTCATGTCTTGAACATGACATTTTCTCGTATGACCATCGAGTCGTTTAATTTTTACTTTGGATTTGCATACTGTACAGAGTAACTTCTGTTTGCTATTGGGGATTGATTCGAATTTCTCTGGTAGGTGCTCCACAGAAAGGGCCTCTAATTGGGCTTCCGAGAGGCTCCATAATTTATAACGATGGGGCCATCCTTTTACGTGCTCACGAACCGCATCATCGTCCAATAACTTTCGTTGATCACATATTGCACAGACCTTCCAAGTTAATTTCAAGAAAATACCTGTAAACGATTTTTCGACTTCATTTTCCTCCCCAGAATTATGATGGGGCAACACAGTCACTTCAAGAGTATCTCTTGAATTTTCTGTGTGAAGGACACTTTTTAAATGTTCATCTGCAGTGCAGTCATTGGGGACTCTGATTTTGCATAGATTACACCAATGAAATACTCTTCCTTCATGTTTTGGAGTGCCTCGAGGTAATTCCAACACTTGAACGACATGCTCATCCGATTTTTTTCCACTTTCGATGAAGTATTTAGTCTCGTTGTTGTCATTCAATTCTGGCTCGGTACTTCCTCCTTGGATATTGTTTATATTTAGGAACGACATCAGAGTGTGTTTGTTCTCGATGTGTTCTCGACTCTTGGTGTGTTCCGCGATATCCTCGAGGCCACCCAAAATTTTGTGATAACAAATATGACATTCTGTAAAGAACACCTCTGTACCTGGGTAAATGTGACATTTCAAATTTTTTGAATCTTTGGGATATATCACAATCTCGTCGCCATCGGTGGGATATTTGATAACAGATTCCATGATAATTCATTCGTGTATCGTTTTTCTCGGAATTCTAACAGCAAGACAGCGCCAACGCCTGTGTTATTCTCCTGTCTTTTGTTTCACATTTCTGGACAACCTGATGGACAAACAATTCCATTAATTTTCTTTTTTGTTGCGTAACGATTATTGGAATCCCCGATTTAAACGTGAATATTACCTGTCAGTATTTTGTTGTTGTAAATTACGCGGCTGGCCTTGAGATCAAAGACAAGATATATTGGCATGAAGAGCAAAGAAAGAACAGGTACAGACGCTGTACCACACTGTATTATTATAGGAGAACCTTCTAGTATGAAATCAGAGGGCGTACCTGATGAATTTAGCTCCCCGGAACTCGCTCTCTACTTTTTGGTTAATCCTCCTCAGGCTATTTACCGACAGCCGTACATATTGTGAAATGCTCCAGGATTAGTGAGCACTTGGTATCATCAGAATTCCAAAACACAAGTTTGATAAACAGAAAATAGTATATTTCGTAACAAGTGCGGTAAAGTGATTTCGATCATGAGCTGAAAACAAGTTGTATAATCCCACATGCCAAAAAAAACTTTCTACACGAGTTGCGAACACTTTCTCATCACAATGGGGAGCGTGCTTGAAAAGTTACTTTTCCACACATCAAAATTAATACTTGAGAGTTGATGAATCACACCGTTCACGTTGATAGCTAGTCGTCAACCCTCAAGTATTAATTTTGATTTTAGTCGACATATCAGTTGAGAAAAGATTCACCCGCGAATTTGAAATTAACTGTACGATTAGAGTCTCCTCTTATCATTAGTTGAGACAACATAGTACGAGATTGCTTTCATACTGAATGGAAGCTTTATATGCGATGAAATTGACGTTTCCATTTTTTTATTTCAGAGTAACTAAATATTTCCTACAAATCCCAAATATTATATATATAGTGTATTTTCCTATTTTTTAATCTTACTCTCAATCCTCTCCAGATAAAGTCAATGAAATCTCACGAATTCGTCTATGAACACAGACTTCTACCCACTTTAATAAACTTTATCCACCACTTTTTAATTAAAGTCATATTTATGATGACTAAATTATCTTGCTACTGTAGATCGAATTTATCTAGACTCTAGGAGTAAACTCCAGACTGCCCTCTGTTGCAGGCCTGAGTATCGATAGAAAGATTGAAATACCGTTACAGTATTTAAAAACACGTGTTTGGATCAGTTGATCTCACTTTTTATCAGTTTCGTTCATTCAGCTCAGACATGCAGCTGGGATTGCATTTAATTGCTGCGGCTTGTGAAAAGGGAGGCATTGGAGTGGAAGGACGTCTGCCATGGAAATTAAAGTACGTTTAATTCATGAAAGAAATAATTAGTCCTTGCTGCAAATAATGTAACAGTCACGTTCATTAGGAGTGAAATGAACTTCTTCACTGAGATGACAACGAAAACAACGGACAACAATAAACAGAATGCCGTCTTGATGGGCAGAAGGACTTGGGAGTGCATTCCAAAAAAATTCAGACCTCTCCAGAACAGGATAAATATGGTTCTAACCAATCAGCAGCTGTGAGTGATCAACAACTCTGGATATTCTATTGGATTTTTCACAGTTGATTTATTCTGTTCCAGTGATCTTGGCAAAGACGCTATTGTTTGCAAAAGTATTCCTGCAGCAATACAGATGATTTCTACTGGCTCCTTGAAGGATAAAGTCGAGAAAATTTGGGTCATCGGAGGAAGTTCCGTTTATGAAGTAAATACCATTTTTTACTTTTGCTTAATCTGCGATTTGATCCCATATGAAATACGATAATTTCTTGAATTATGCAATTATTACAGGCTGCAATGGAGTCACCGAACTTTCACAGACTTTATTTAACAGAGATAAGGAAGTACTTCGAGTGTGACACATTTTTCCCAGACATTCCAAACGACTTTATTACGGTGACGTAAGTCATCATGAAATAACAATCTCTAAGTGCATGTTTTTTTTTCTTCCATTGAATTTATCAATACAGGAATAAAAAATATCCTGTTTCTCTGATTCCAGAGATCCAAATATCCCTCAAGATATTCAAGAAGAGAATGGCATTGAATTCCAGTACAAAGTCTACGAAAGAAAAAACAATGATCTCTAATAATATATGTCTATCCACAAGAAATAATTTTTTTTTCCTTTCTCAGTTTTATTCCAATTGTTGAATAACCCTCAATACATTTTTCTTACTTAAAGTTTGTTAATTGAAATGACAGAGATTGGAGGAATTATCCTGGGGGCCATTTCATCTGTCTTCCCCCGAGGACATGAATATGTAAATGATAGACAGACTGTGCGCCATCAGCTCCATCATTAATAACCACACGAAATCCTTTGTCAAGTCCTTGTTCTTTAGCCACTTTTCTCGCAACGTTCATCAGATGACCCAGAATTAACTCATCCCCGTCTTCAGCCTTCGATAATTGCGGAATTGGTTTTCTCGGGATCACGAGAAAGTGTACTGGACTTTGAGGGTTAACGTCGTTGAATGCTACACACTATAAGATTCAAAAATTCAACAATTTTCATAATTAAATAACGGCCGTTGTCATTTGTGTGCATTATTAATTGTCATTGTTTTTTTCGCGGAGTAAGATTGAGGTTATGCGATCATAATTGTTCCAAGTGTTCGAAAATCATTAGAAGAATATGATTTTTTAATTGCTGAAGGGATCACTTACCTGATTATCTTCGTAAATAAAATTGCAAGGAATTTCTTTCCGGAGAATTTTCCCAAAAATAGTGTCACCACCGGCAGTGGCAGATTGAGCTTTCTCAACTTCAGACGCCATTTTTCGGAATGGAAACAGCTGACCACGAAATCCGATAGGTCGAGAAGTCACGATTTTTGATGAGTTCTGAACTAATGTACCTATTAATTTTATCACCATGACTTTTTAGTGCTTTTAAATGATCCAATGGTTATCCATACACCCGAAAAATAATGTACTATTGGATGGAAGAGATTATTTAATGAGGTTACTAGTGGAAATGTTTTGAACTTTGATCGACTAAAGTGTAAACGTACTGGGTATGTTTGGGTATGACTTATTTACTATCAGCTATTCAAGTAGAGTAATGTAAATTCATGAGTCATCTGCATTTATTTTTATCAACAAATTTTGTATTTGAATTGCTGACATATATCGGCAGCAACTGATAATAGTGAGAAATGAGGAGAGAAAGTATATTAATTTTCTCTGTAATTTAATTTATTTCAGACAAAACTGGTGGACAATAATGAATAAAACTCAGGGAGCGTTCGAACTAACGATCGATGAAAAACGATTGAATGAAGAATCTATCGACATCTGCAACCAAGATAACACTTCTCAACAAATTAATACATACAATGAAAAAGCAGATGTTTACGTGATCAATCTGCGAAATTCTGTCTGCAATAACGGAAAAAACCCATACAAATATTTTTTAATATACATCGAAGCATATTCCAACTATATTGTGCTAAAAGCCCTGAGACTGAATAATGAAGAAGAAATAGTTGAGAACCTCATAGATATTTTCTCAATTATAGGGCCCCCGGCGGTAATTAGTTATCACAGTAATAAAAATAATTTTGAAAAATTATCAAAAGCACTAGAGGACTACAGGAAATCAATCTTTAACATTAAACTAGAGCGAAACAACAGTAACAAGGGCTCTATCGTCCTTAAAAATGAATTAATAAAACAACTGTTAGATTGGGCCCGAGAAAATCCAGAGCAATCCCTCCAAATAGGTGTCAAACACCTTCAAATTACTGAAAACAACAGAATAAACCCATCAACAAAGAAGACACCAGTGCAACTATTATTCCAACAACTGATAACTCTAACTGATAAAATTCTTCCAAAATCAAAGAATTCTTCGAGCCACAGCGAAAAAAATATAGTAATTCCCTCTGTTCTCACTTGTCCCCATTGCCCTCAGAAATTTACATTCCCAAGTGTTTTAAAACGACACCTGCGATCTCATACAAACGAACGTCCATACGTCTGCAAAATTTGCAATAAAACATTCAAACAATTGGGCCACTTGAGTCAACACTGTCTGAGGCACGATTTTCATCCATCCCAATGTACAATTTGCAGCATTAAATTCGAATCTCTGGACCTTCTGAAGAGCCATTTATCCGAAAATCATAGGAATAAACGAAGAAAGCTGGTAAAACCGATATTTCAATGTGAAAATTGTAAAAAAGTCTTCACGACAAAAAGTGTTTTGGAGAGGCACGTCTTGTCTCACAGCCATGAGCGTCAGTTTGACTGCAAAATCTGCGGGAAAAGGTTCAAGCAAGCAGGACATTTGAAGTGCCATACATTGGTTCACACTGGAGAGAGAAAATTTGCATGTTCAATTTGTCCCAAACGTTTCAGTCTTTCCAACAGTTTAAAAAAACACATGTACATTCACAATGGTGAGAAACCTTATCAGTGTGACGTGTGTGGCTCTAGATTCCTGGAGAGAAGAAATTTGAATGGTCACTTGATGACGCACACTAATGAGAGACCTTTTGGGTGTAAAATATGTGGGAAACGGTATACCCTGGCGGATACCCTCAGGAGACACATTAGTGCAGCTCATGAGGATGGGAGGACTTATCAATGTGAAATCTGCGCGAAAATGTTCAAGCAATTGGCCCATCTGTCTGCTCATAAAAAAGTTCACACCGATGAACGCCCGTTTCAGTGTCATCTCTGTGATAAGAATTTCAAGCACAAAAATGTTCTCAAAGGTCATCTCGCTATTCATGCCAATGTCAGACCTTTTGAGTGCGATGTTTGCAAGGCTACATTTGTCAGGAAGACTAATCTCCAAACACATATTCTCTCGGCACACATGAACGAGCGACCGCATTTCTGTAAAATTTGCAACAAGAGATTTAAACAGATTAGTCACTTAAGGGGACATGTTATTGTGCATAGTAATGCTATGCCCTTTCAGTGTGATTATTGTGAGAGGAGGTGTAATAGACTGGATAATCTGAAGAAGCATATGAAGCTGCATGAGAAGAATAATATGGTCTGAGGATTTTTCAAGAATTAAAAGGCCTTTGGAACGGCCTTGACGGTCAGGGTTAAAGGAGATGAATGAATATCAGTATTATTTTTTTTAATCAATAAATGTTTTCCGAGAAAATCAGTTTATTGTCTGAACGGACATTTCCTTCTCCACTTGTTCTGTCCCTGACAAATCCTGGCTAAACAATTTTTCCCCTTCAAAAAAAATGCCACCACAATTGAAAAGCGAGTTGCGCGCGCACCTGCGTACATCGCCGCGCGCAGTACACGATCCATTGATAAACCAAGATGGCGCTGTACTGTTTGCGGTAACCGTAGGTAATAATTCATAAATACGTGTAAAGGGGAAAAAAAAACAGTGTATATCAGTGACGTAAAACCCCAAAATCAGAATAACCCCCATTTCATCCCCATAAACACAAGTCCCCCCCCAACCCCAAAGTGATCCTTACTATTCTGATTCCTCCAATTTTTTCTGACAAAAAAATTCCCCAGTGTTGAAAAACGTGTGGTCTCTCTCCTGCTCAGTCGAATTCTTGAATTGTATTCTCAGAGAGAATTGGTTTCCCACCTGAGGAATGTAAGTCTCAGTATTGTGGGACGTCCCAGGGTCTCAAAGGTCTAACCCAACGGGCCCTGACCTGGTGACAACGAACCATCAACCGCAATTAAATTGCGCGTGGGACAGTGAAACAAAGCCATTAAAAGTGCACGATCCAAGAAAAATAACGTGTAAAAGTGAATTAATAATAAAAGGGATAATCCATTGACATTTGAAACCATCGGAGTGAGTGAAGGTGGTCTCTGGTTGGTCTCTATCAACGTATGTGCATCATAGCCTCAAAAAGAGCAGCAACTTTAACGAGTGGTGATAACGTTGGGGTCGATATTAATTGAATCGTCAACAACAAGTAAATCGTCAATTTGTCAACAAGCTCAATGCGCCGAAGGATCTGGCACTCGGGTGGAGGACGACCACGAGTGCATTTCAACACCGGGAAGTAGCAGTAACGTTTACGTTGTCGGCATTGCCGGCGACAAAATTATCACTCGTGGCTGATCCTTACAAATTTTAAGGTGGGACAAGGAGGTGCTGGAAGCACCACCCGACAACCACCAGGAACCCAACCTAAGAACATGGCCTTCAACGAGGTACATATCATCTCTTTTTAATTTATTCATTTAATTGGTTGTGTACGTCCACGTGAGAGATTTGGCAATTCAATTTACTCTGTCCTTTTTCTGATCTCATAAAAACGTATGAGTTATTATCAAAACAAGATCTAAGAAATGGATGGAAAGGAAACATTTTTTACCAACTTATTTAATTTATTGTATCTCATACAGTTGTTCTTTGAGATCGTAATACGGTAATTGATGGAATTTTTTATCAATAACTTAACTAAAGTCACCAAATTATAATGATATGTTGTTAGGTGCATTATTACCTAATTTCTTGAAATTTTGAACTTGTGATTGTGATTTAATTGTCTCGACACAAATTGACATTATCATCTCTAAAATCAAATCTTATAATCAAATCTAAACGATCCATATCTCAAAAATGAGGAGATAGAAGTCCTTGAAATTTTGTCAATGATTTATCAACATCTCACAGCGTACAATACAAATGTTGTGTCTTTAATTGAGGTTCTAACCTTACCCTCTGAGGTTCGTGCAGACTCTCGACTTTTTTTCAAAGTTCTCTCAAAGTTTTCCAAGTTTTTCTGGTTTTTCTCTGGGGGAGAACACCCTGGGGAATACCTAGGACACGTGAAAACCGTTTTGGAGGAAAGGTCTGCAGTGAGACGCATTGTATCCCTCTGCAGATGTTTTTTCTTAGAAAAAACATTCATCTCTGCGGGATAAACGCGTAGTTGCGCACGAGGGGTTTGAACCCGGCGCACACGCGTATTTTCTCTACTGTACACCTGAGAGTCCCTTATTTTTTTAATTTTTTTTATCGAGTCGTTGGTTCCTTCTAGAGAACGGTGTAACCTTACTTTATCGGTGTGTTATCGGGGGAAAAGTAGGGGTGGTGTCGTGATTAGAGGAGTTTGAATAGTCGTAGTCTGAATGAATAAGATCCCAATGAAGTGGTAAGAACAGGGAAAGTTGTTGATATTTGGTGAGGGAATTTTTTCATCACGAGACAGGTTTTTGCATGAAAAGTATCTCCTGGTTATTTTTGCTCAACCTTTTCTTTGAATTATTTTCTATCCACATCTCCGAGATTTGCTTGCTTGGAAGAGAACTTGATGAGAAATGTAGATTAGACTTTTGATGACCTTTCATTTTTCCTGTCGTTTACTCACGATCTTTGGAATGAATAAAATTATAGTTCAGAGATTGAAAATTTTCTAACAAAGTCTTTTGACTTCTCCTACATCACTGACTGGGAAGAAATATTTAAAACCATAATTCCATTGACAGAAATTTTCACAATAATGTGAACTTAATTTCTCCTTGAACTGGTTCTAATTTTCTCTTCCGTTCTTATCACTCGAGCACTGACTTGAATAATTCTATTCCAATTTAAATATTATCATTCAGTGAGAGATACGAAATAAACTAGATAGTCGACATTTTCAATTTTTTCATGAACATTTATTTCGCGGAATTGACTCGGAGGAAAATTCTAAATGTGTCATATGCAACTCATTATGATTTTCATCATTATATTCAACGCCTAGTGCACGTTATTGCGTGTATGCGAAGGGATAGAAAGAGAGACTTCACTCCAAAGTCTGTTACATCATGACATACGACGATGACTGAGTATATACCCGGGAAAAACGTGTTATTTATTTTCTTACTTCCACTCGCTAAGTTGCACAATCCCGAGGGGAGGAAGTACGTTATATCGATCGAGATACTGAGCATGAGACACTTGGACGTTTTCCTCTCATTCTAGTTCTCCCGGTATATTTACCACTATTGATGCGTGTAGATGGTTTCAATGTGTGTAAACAGAATACACTCATGTAATGACTCTGAGGGAGAAAAAAATCCACGGAAACAAAATGCTGTAACCTCGAGGTGTAATTCCGGGAAAAGCTGTTACGTGACTCATGAGGTTCAACGTGAACTCAAATTAATCCAACATTTTTTGGCTTTTTTTTGCCAGTCTACGTGATTTCTCGAACTTTGCCAGAGTTTTACTGCTGTTTCTTAATGATTTTTAGATTCAAATCGGTTCTTGATTTCTGGGATTTTGGGATTTTTTTTTTTCGAATCGTCAGATCGTCCGACCTTTCGAGTTATTAAATTATCAATTAATTTTTGCTGATGCAAATGATATGTTTTATTTCTTAAATTCATATTTTAAAATTTATAACGAAATAAAAATCGGTAAGCTCGTTCGACTTTCCCCTGAATTCCATGAAACATTACGGTGTTATGTGGGCACGTACCATGGCACACATATACGAAAATATATGCAATGTATCTAGTAATAACGGGACGTCAGCCTAGCCCTCGTTTCCTCTTTTTATTCAATTCCCGATCTATCGGTCGGTTATTAATTTCCATGATTTGCCACATTTTCAATAACTTTGAAAAAATTTTGGGAAATAACTTACAGTGGACTTCCGTTAAATAATCCGCAACCGTGAATTTTCTCGTGTTTCGATATTTTTCCTGGAAGCGTTCTGTTGTGTTGATTTTCCCGAAATGGCGAAAACATTGTTTTTCTCTTTGAAATTCTCGGAATAAGGGAAGAGTGGGAATCCATTCAAGTACGTACTCGTTTTCGGTGTGTTTACATCCTCGGATAGTTATCAGGAGACCTCTATAAGATATACGTCTACAAGTGCGTGAAAATCTTTCTCAATTACTCTCAAACGAATGATTCAGTGAATTTTTCTGTCTGCTATTCGATACATCCTTGTCCAAGTGAATATAGTTTTTTATTTAAAAAATCTCCCAAATGGAATTTAAACGAAAATATTCTAATTCATGTGTCGAGTCAATGCGTCTAATACAATTTCCGTTAATCCAAATGAGATCCAGTTTTTGTGAGTGTGGTGAGATTTTCTTGGTGATGTCTAGTTCAACTGACATTGACTATAACCTCTGGATTCTCAAAGCGGTCTCTATATACCGTTTAGTTGCTCGAGCGAACAACGACCAGGGATAAAATACAACTCAACTTATGCGTAAGTGTATTACACTCACATTAAATGATATGTCTCCCTTTATTTTTCCTCCTACGAACCGATGAAACAGAAGGAAAACTACGCGAAAAAAGATAATATTGTTTGTGGCTCCACAAATCCCATTATTTTCCATCTATCGAGGTTTTTCATGTACTTTCATCACAGCTGGTTATGAAAATGTAATGGAAACTATTGAAACTACTTTTTCCTCTTTCTTTTGCTTTTGGTGAGTCATAAAAAATTAGTGTGTTAGAAGTGAATATTTCCATTACGTTTTTCAATTTGACTGAAATATTTTGTATCGCTCTGACTTTCCGAGAAGAAATTTTCAGTTAAATTATCTCATAGGTGAATTTTTGAGAAATATATCTGGCGGACATTCCAAGATTTTTATTGGAACCTTTTTTATAGACATTGATTAGTGACCGAGGAGGTCAGTTGACTCACTTAGTTCTTCTAGACAGTTTGATTATTTCATTATCTCAATGTTGCGTGACTTCAGGATAGAAAATGTCAGGACAGTCCCTTCGGAGGCAATGTTCTGCTCTCTAAGAAAGATTTCTTGCAATTTCCTCTAGTCACCTGTGTAAATCGAAATTTCCCACGTCCCTCTCATCTTATTTTCACGGTTTCCCTTCTAAACTATCTAAAAATAAGGGAATTGAAACCTTTCGGATTGGAGTGGCTGTGGTTAATCTCATTCGCTCTCCGATCCGTGTCGTCTTTGACAGTTGTGCGAGAAGGGATTCGTTTAAATTGATGAGGGTTGGGACTATCGGATGAAGAAAAAGGGTCTTGGCGTCGGCGTCGGCGTCGGATGCCAAGGTCCTTGCCCTAGACAGACGCTCAATTCTCAGACACCTTTTCTTCCCTCATCCCTCAAAAGCAACAAACAAACAATCCCAAACCCAACTTTAAAATTAATCAACACTGAATTCTACTACTTATTCGTGAAAAGTTT